TAATGCCCTCTCTTTGCGTAAGCATCTCCACCGTCCTTTCCATATGCCTATTGTTCTTTCTACTGTACATCGTGCTGTAGCATGCCTATCTGTGTAAGAAGCACTTGGAGATCTTGCTGGCTGATTCAGTTTAGGTGTCATTAGATATGGTAATAAGGGATACCCAGAATCTCCTAAAAACACAGTTAATTACAACATTTTTTAGTAACAAGAACAGTTTCACAAATTATATATCTGTGTGTGCGTGTGTACAAATTCTAATTTGACTTACATAAAGAATTTTTTGAATAATATATTTTAATCGAATTTTATTACCTAATAACCAGACATTTCGTCTTCCGTTTTGATATTTATTTAACATATGTCTCGATAATTGAGACGAGTTCCATACCCTTGCATCGTGCGTACGGCCACCATGGTTTGCAACTACAGCTAAAATTTTGCAATAATAATCACAAACCTAAAATAAGTAATAAGACAAAGAAATACATAAAAAAATATGTGCGTTACAAGAATACGATGAAAAAATAATAAATTCCCTTTTATCTTGTGTGTGTGTACAATGTATGTATAAATACATATATATATATATACATATTATTTAATAATTTTTACTCACAATCATAACATTTAAAGAGTGGTACAATTTCCTGTTTATATATAAGTGTTCCCTGTTTTTTTCAGGTGGCCAAATGGCTACATGCGTTCCATCAATCGCACCTATGACACCCGGAAAATTTGTGTGAATGAAATACCTGGTAAAATACGATTGCATTTTAATTTTACACATAGCAAAAATTATAGTATATTTATTATAAGTTTTAAATGCACTTACATTAAAATTGATATACTTTTAAGATAATTATGAAATTGTATTTTTTAATTATAACTTACGTTTGCTGAATAGTTTGAATCTCATCATGTTCTGTAGGGAATGTTATCCATTGTGGCATTATAGCATTTAATGCATGTATAATTTGATGTATTGCTCCACTAACGGATGATTGACACATACAACTTAGGAAGTCCTGCCCAATTCTCCTCTGATAGGAACCTGAGCTTAAAAAGCTTAAAGTTGCTAAAAGCTTTAAAATAACAAAAAAAATTAATTTAAATATAACTATTTTAAAATATCAATACTATAATAAATAATGAAAGCTGGTTTTACATTAGACACAAGCTAATTGCAAACTTGCTACAACAGCAATCTGAAGCGTTCATTTCAAAATGCTTCAGATTGGCTGTTGCAATAATTTTGTGATCAACCTGCATCCAATGTAAAACCAACATAAGGAAATCTAAAATTTTAATTCATAATAGTATTTCTTTATATGCAATTTTACCTTCAGTTCTAATGGAATTGCTGTTAATCGTACTGCTACTTGCATATGAGGCTGTATAGAATCGCGTAATGCTAATGTAGCATCTTTTGTTAACCTGTGTATTTAATATCTTGTTTAAATTGTTCCATAAACATTTAAATAATATACAAACCATCAATATATTCTGTTTTCCGTTACTTATTTATATTGAATAATATTATAAAAGAGCCGGGGCACATAAACCTTTGCATAATGCATAATTTATAAACAGAGATTCATCCAATTACAGTCTTTTTTTTCTATGAAATAAAGGACTGATTAATTATCTTATGCATTATGCATGCTTTATGCATTATGCAATGGTCTACGTTCCGGCTTTATTTATTAAAGTATAATTTTACTTACCGATATAAATGAATAAATTGCGATTCTAAAATTTCAAATGGATTACTTGCATCACGTAATTGTCTTCTTCGAATTTTCAGCATATTTCTTTCTTCTTCTTCTGCAAGTTGCAGCAACCACCAAGCTGCAGCCATGTTATGCCAATATATGCTAAATTAAAAATCCATAAAAGGTTTTTATTATGTATAAGAATAAAGCAAGAAGCACAGACTCTTGCATAATACATAACACATAATACATAAGTAAATGAACCAATCAAAGTCTTTTATTTCCTTCTTTTCCATGAAATAAAGGACACTGATTGGTTGATTTTCTTATGCCTCATGTTTTATGCGTTATGCGAGAGCCTGTGCTTCCCGTCTAAGAGTGGAACAAATCAAATCCAAGCCGAAATAATATGATGCATCATTATTCTTGTTCATCGAATGTTAAAGATAAATGATGCACTATGCACATCACATGAAATTCATTTCCAGTCATTTAATATGTATACAAATAAGTAATATTATTCAAATTCTAATAATTATGCATGTAAACATAATGTATTGTACAAAATAAATATACTATGTATTTACATATATTTTTATTTTTCTTGAGATTTAATTGTTAGACTGCATCGAATAAATGCACTCTACAATATAAGTCTCAAGAAGAAAATATATGTAAATAAAGACTTGTTTAATTTTTACAATATATTAGGTTTAGAAACACAATTACCGGAAATTAGATAATATTGTATTTGGGTAATTATGAAGGAGACGGTCGACCTCATCGATTTTAATATTAGGCTCGATTTTAATATTCGACGCAAAATTTGTTTATTCGTATAATGAATTCGAATTTTTAGATATTTATTAATAACTAGTCGAATCAGTTCTGTTCTATGATTAAAAAATAGATCTTGATTTGAGATGTGATCGAAAAGTTCTTTATCAGTAAATACGGATGTATTAACGAGTATGAAAATTTTATTGCGGAATTGTGTTATATCGGTGCTTTGCAACTTATTTTCTATTGTTCTGTAACGAAACTCACATGTGTGACAAATTGATTGGACATCTTTCGATGCAATTGTTAACCCATCTCTATTTTTTATAATACTTAATAGTGATGAATCTTCAGAATGAAAAAGAAAACTCTTACAAAAATTACAATATATTAAACGTGCAACCGACTTACTGACAAAGCCACTAATATACTTACAAGTATCCTCTACGAATGGTGATAGTCGCCAGACAGTTGTTAAGTAATCATGATCTAAAGTTCGATCGTTCTCTATAAATTCATCTACAATAGTATCTGGAGGACACTTTATATTATGACTCCCCACATGCAAAATTTCAATACCTTCAAAATTCATGCAGTTTCCTGCTTCTGAACCAGATATTTCATGTTTAACGATAAGACGGCTGTGAGCATTGCGAAATTGATATGCACTGTGATTGTTGTTAAAACCACCGCGACTGCGCAGAGCACTGAAGAATACTTCTAAATGATCTTGGCTTAGTTTGTAAGTCAATAAATATTCGAACTTGCCGTTGCTCTTTTTAAATAGCAATTTGAATAATTCAGTAACATTTTGTAAGCAAATTATAAAGCCAAGAAATCCTACTTTTCTCTCTGAGTGAAGTATATTTCGTCCATTGTCAATTGTCAAGCCCTGTATGTATATAACGAATTCGTTAACGTATTTAACGACAGCATCTATATTTGCCATACTTATTTTCTGACTAAAAGAACTGTTACTAAAAATGTTCCGTGTATTAAAATATCGAAGCAATTATTAATCGTCTTACAAAAAACTGCAGTGTGACTTGCACCTGAAAAATTTTCGATATTTTTCTTTTCACAATATATCAAAGAATCTGCCACACTGCAACTTAGTAATTGTGCAGCTAATCTTACATTCATTTTTTTCGCTTGCCAATTTAAATGTCTTGTTAATTTATTGCCACATCTCAAATTTTCCTGTTTTTATACTTCATAAAGTAAGTTTATGAATTGCCATTTGATTTTTTTTCCTTCTGCGGTTGTTAAAATTTGCTTTTTATCAAAACAGTTTCTAATTAATTTTAGCATATGGCATGCATCCCAAAAAACAAAAACCTACAAAAAATTTTGAAATTATAAATATATTCTAAGGAAATTTCTGTAGCCCGTACAGTAGCAGGTAAAACAATTGCAACATTTTAAAAACAAGAAATAAATAATTATAAATAATAATTTAATCTCACAGAAATTTACTTTTTCATTGGTAACCCGATGCTCAAACCATGGACGATATTCTGCATTCCCAAATTTAAAATTACAATGTAATTTTGTACACATGCTTATATTTACTGCTCCATCAAATGGAGTTGCATATAGCATCCGTTTCGTGCAGTATTTTTAAACACTTTAGCAACAAATTAGTCCTTTCACTGGCATTCAAGCTGTTAATTAGAAAGTACCCCAGAGGAACTTTCCAATTACTGTTTAGTGCTACAGCCATAAATATAAATGCATTTTTAGCTTTTGGTATCTTCTCATCTTTATTATTACCTTCAATGCCAAAATCAACGTAACCATGGAATTCTTTACCATCCCAATGAATATGTTCACGAATGGATATTTCGTCCATTGTAAGGTTAATGATTACAGGAGCCTCTGATTGAACCTTATTAGCAATCGAATTGAATGCTTGCTTCGTGAATCCGGGATTATCATCTATTATTTGATACCATTTTGCCAATGTTTTTTCGTGTGGCAATAAATTTGTAAATTTCCTTCTAACATAATTGTATGCCTTTGCCGAATAAAAATGTAGTGTCATGGCGAATGCTCTTAAACACGGAGAGATCTTTGCACTTCTGGATTTCAACTTGCACTTTATAATGTCCTGAATGATATCTGGTGTTAATGTCTATAAAAAGAGTAACACAATCGTTATAATAGAGGTATTATTTTTTCCAAATAATAAATCAGTACATATTAAAAGATAATAATTATTTTATTTATTTGCAACTGAATACAGCCAATTATTTTAATGTACAATGTAAAATAATATACAATTTCAACTTATAAAGCTTTCAATGTATAATGTCACTGAAATTCATTTTGTAATAGAGTCGTATATACTTAACATTATTTTTTATTTAACAACAGTGTCCATTTCATGAAAACCCTTTAAGTTCTTGGTAGAAGAATTAGACGGCTGAATCATTAAAAATACCTGTATGGTTATTTCAGCTTCTTCGGATATCATTTTCTTATTTTTTAATTCTTTCAGTAACGATTGCAAATGGTTAATTTTTTGTTCCATTCGTCGCTTTTGCTGACTAATACGAGTAATTTTGCGCTTATATAATAATACTTTACTGACTACCAAGTTGAAATGTCTTTTGGCACGGCGTGGTGTATCAAAACCATGTTCCATATCAATTTGTGAAACAACAGCTGGACGCCATCTCTTCTACTTCACTCGTGATTCTTGTCTAGTCGATGCCATGTCAATGGCAGGTTCCATTGAATAAGAAGTAGATTCAGTACCGCTTAGGACTTTTTCATCAATTTCTTCTTGCACTGACATAATTGGAATGCATGTATTAAGGTGCGTTCCGTATCGCGCATGATGCATATGATGCATCCATTGTCCTTGTTTAACATTTGGTGAGCAACAAGGATAAACGATGCATTATGCGCATCATGCGAGAAACGGAACGCACCCTTAGTTGAGTTGAATACAAATGTTGAATTATCTTCTTGTGGATGTAATTCTTCAGAAGTTCTGCCAATGTTTGGACACTTAACGATTACGTCATCTGTATCTTCGCTGAGATCTAGTTTCCTAAAAACAATTGAGGGCAATAGCATGAGGAAATTTCAATATACATACAATGTTATAAGAATTAAATATAAGCATCAGGGGTATAGATATCACTCTATCTGTTAATAAAAGTTGAAGGGTTAAAAGTCTATTATAAAAATAACAAAAATCGAATTGGAATAACAACAATATGGAATCAAACAAAAATATGGAGTTTGGAAACTTCGTATAAATTCATAAGATTAAGAAGAAACCGTAATATACTGATGCGTTTATTATGTTTTCCGATTTTGAATTCATTATTGTATTCAGATTCTAAAATTCACATCTCTTAATATCTTTTTAAATAAAATTTACTTTATTCATGAAATATCATACATTGTTATTCATGATATTATATTTAATAACGCGATCACTAAATTAATTTATTTGTACAGATGATGTTAACAACTCTTGCGAATATTATATTATATTTTACTTAAATTTAATTTATTTGTACTGATGATGGTCAAAACGTGACCGAAATGTTTACTTTTTCAATTATTTTAAATATATGACTTTGCTAATAACATCTTGCGCTGTGGCTGTATGCTTATTTGTATTTATGTTTGTTTATCATTGAGCCACTTTCTTATTTTAACGGTTTATGTATAATTTAAATACTAAAAAATTAACTTTTTATTGGTTTTCGAAGAAGAAGTGTAGGTATTGATCCTTTCTTTAACATCTTCCTTTCTTGTATTATACTAATGTTGAAACACGTGTCTTCAAAATGCTTTCCGCATATCCTTGTACGTTTCATAATATCGAACTCTTTAAATTGAAACGCAGCCAATCACTTGGGGTGCGTTCCGTTTCTCGCATGATGCGTATAATGCATCGTTTATTTTTGTTGCTCACCAAATGTTAAACAAGGACAATGGATGCATCATGCACATCATGCGCGATACGGAACGCACCTTTGGAGTGAAGTTCTGAGTCTGTCGGAAATCTATAATAATAACACATAATTAAGTCAAAAGTACAAATACTTTATTTCGGAGATGGATTTGAATGCGAAGTATTGACATACTTATTATCACTTATTTACAATAATTAAAGAGTAATTACGAAATCTAACCTCAAAACTAACATTATAAATTCCGTATATTAATACTATACTCACAAATAATTAAACTTACAAGTGATATGAAAACGCCTGATTTTTTTTCTCTGCAAACATAGCAATACATTGCCACAAATCACTTATAATTTCTACTCGTAGAACCAAACAGAACCAAACACAGTTCGCGAATAATCAACGTGCTTTCTAGCCTTGCAACATATGTTCTAAGTTCCTAGCATCCATGATAAAAATACAAGGGTATGCTCATCAATTGTCTAAAACTCGTTCAGCTTGCGCATGTCCTTGCCTACGTCATATTCGGGTACGCGTTGATTGGTCGGTTCTGATTCGGGTGCAATCGGTGGTTATCGGTCGTAATTTATCATGGCGTCCATGGCGTAGTGCACGTTGTCATCGGTAGAAGTTAATGTTAAAAATATTTTCACGATGACCTGCATAGTGAAAGGATGCGGCAATTATATGAAAAAAACAAAAAAAACTGAGGGAAGTAAAATTAAATATTTTATCTTTCCAAAACAATCTGAAATTGCTGAACAGTGGCGTAAGCCACTCGTTGTGACGTAAGCAAGGACAAAAATCTGATTGGTCATGCGCATGAGCATACCCTTGTCTTTTTATCATGCTAGCATCCACAGTGGATAATCCACTGCGCACGCGTATGGAGTATGCGCATTACAATCTACGAGCTTCATCTCTCCATCCGTCAATCTATTCGGCTTCAACCGAATTGTACAGGGATTATATGCCTATGCTCCTTCCAGTACTATATGTTCTAAGGTTTGCGCCGATCATGGTCGATCGAGTGTAAAAATAATGTAATTACATGTGGTCTGTTTTCTGTTCCTCCAC